TCATAGTTATGTAACAGTGTAATCTGACAGTTATGTAATGATATAATTTGACAGTTGAGTAATATTTAATCTGGTACTTACGTAATAATGTAATTTGGAAATTACGTAATGATGAAAATTGGCAGTTATGCAATGATGTGCTCATCCTCCATTCTGTGATGTGATGTGGTCATCCTCCATTTTCACATAACACCCACTTGTGCATAACAGCCTGGTCTCTGGAACCCAGCCATGTCATGAGTCAGGCAGGGGTGCATATGCTCATGAACATGTGTCGTGTACATACATTTGTGTGCTTGTGTGTGAATGGCCAGGTCAGAAACCCTCATGTTTAAGAATCCTGAGCAGCCGCTGGGAGCCAGGAGCAGAGCACGGTCGGGAAGGCAGGACGCGTGGCGGTCTTACCTATCTTCTTGCCCCGCTCCTCCGCACGGTTGTGCGCGATGATTGGCGAGTAGATGAAGGGACTCTTGGTTGACACGTTCTGGCCCAGCAAGCTTTTCATCTTCTGGGGACGGAGGCTGGCAGGAAGGTTCAACAGTTTCACATGCCTGTTGTTTCCAATGGAGCAAAAATATTTCAACAGCCTTGTTAGCTTGGCATCAGAAGAGGCAGAACCAAAGATCTTATGTTAGAAAAAGAATCAGAGACTGTGGCCCTTAGACACCCTTCAGACCCAGAACTGAACTCACCCCGGGGCTGAACTTTGAGCCAAATGACAGATAGGCCAAAAAGGCAACAGTAACAACTGGGAGGAAGCATTCCTTAGAACCATCAGTCACTTGAGATCTAAAGGGCAGCATATGCCGAGGGATAAAGCTCAGACGGACAGAGGGGCCGGACAGAAGGACAATAGAAATGGTAACCACAGGGAGGAAGTGAGAACAGCGTCGTTACATTTTGGGGACTGTAATCAATGTCACAAAATAAAATGTGTATGGATTGTGGAACGGAAAACAACATGCTTTGTAAACTTCCACCCAAATCACAACAAAAAGCTTAAAAAAAAAAAAAGGTAATAAATATTTAAATTGGGGAAAATAAAGAAGAATCAGTCAAACTACAAGATAAACAGAGGGCGGGAAGGGTGCTCAGAGGCAGGGGTGTGCTGCCCGGGGATGCTCTAGGTGTCCTCGCACAGCGGAGCTAATTCCCGGGGTTCCAGGGCTGCCCCTCGCTGCTGGCT